TATAGAAGACCAAATCAGCCAAGAAAAAGGGCAATGGAGCAAGACATGGGTAGCAGATTCAAATTCATAGCTACAGAAGGTGCAACTGGTGGAGACAGAAGGGTCTAAAATGCCAATTCTGTGTATAAATTCTGCTGACTTGATTTTGTTCTTCCAGGCCAACCAACAGAAAGAAATCAAATAAGAAGGAGAAAGAAGAAGAAGAAGGAAAAAAAAAAAAAAAAAAACCCTTGGTGGGGACAACCCTATTGCAGATATGCTTACAGATTGGAATATGAGGACCAAGGATAGAATTACTAAAAGAGTAAAGTGTAGAAACAGAGAACTCATCAGTGCTTGCAGAAGCACTAGCCCAAATATAATAGTCAGCCCTATGAAGAGTCAGAGAAAGGGCTGAAGATAGGACTCCAAGCAAGCTAGTTTCTTTATCCAATTCCCAAGTAAACAACACTTTTCTAATAGGAAAATTCCAATTGTTTGGGCTGGTTTTCCTTGCAAAGAATTGATGAAGAGAGCCATCTTTATCAGTTGAAAGATTAAAAAGGAGGGGAAAATTAGTCTTAAAACAAGAGTTGCCACACCATCTGTCATGCCAAAATTTAATTATATTTTCATCCCCCACTTTAATTTGGCAGTTATCCACATAAAAATTGTAAATATTACTGCTATGATTCCCAATAGATAAGATGTCTTTCCAAACTCTAGAATGTTTGTAAGAAAATCTTACCGGTGGATTCCAACAAGCATCATCTATATTGTATTTGCTACATATAGCCCTCTTTCAAAGTGAATTAATTTGAGTTCCAAATTTCCACCACCATTTGAGCAATAGACAAGCATTTACATCTCTGATTTTTCTAATGCCCAGACCCCCTTGATCAATGCTTTTTGTTACCTCCCCCCATTTCACTAAGTGAGCTTTCCTTTTAGGTCATTTCCACTCCATAAAAAAGCTGCTTTAATCCTCTCAAATTCTCTGGCCACACCTTTTGGCATCTTAAATAAAGAGAGAAAATATACTGGTAAACTACATAAGGCAGACTTGATTAGAGTTAGTCTACCTGCAAAAGACAGTAATTTTCTCTTCCACTCTGAAAGTCTGGATCTAATTTTGTCAAGCACAGGTTTCCATGTAGATTTTTTCCCAGGGTTGGCTCCAAGAGGCAGTCCCAGAAATCTCAAAGGTAGGTTATGAACTTGACAGTTGAGGAGCTTTGCAAAGGAGAGCAAAAGAGCATCATCCACACAAACACCACACACCACACTTTTGTGATAATTTATTCTAAGACCAGATAAGACTTTGAAGCATCTTAGAATTCTTTTAATAAGCACCATCAAATCCCAATCTGCTTCAGAAAAGAGAATTGAATCATCTGCAAATTGCAGATAAGACAAAAGAACATCCTTAGACCGAACAAGCACTCCTCTAAGAATGCCAAGATTAATTGCTTTGACCAAAAGTATGTTTAGACCTTCAGACACTATATTGAACAGGAAAGGTGAGAGCGGGTCGCCCTGCCTAAGACCTCTTTGTGGTGAGAATTCGCTAGTTGGTAAACCGTTCACCAGAATGGAGATTCTGACTGTAGATACACAAGTTTTCATCCAAGAAATCCATTTATTCCCAAACCCAAAATTGGACAGCAGAGAGAATAGGAATTCCCAGTTAACAGAATCAAAGGCTTTCTCGAAGTCTAGCTTTAAGATCAAACCATGCTTCTTGAACTTCTTCCATCCATCCACCACTTCATTGGCAATGAACACCCCATCTAGGATGTTCCTCCTACCTATGAAAGCAGTTTGTGTTTCACCAATGATTGAGGGTAGAGCTGGCTTCAGTCTATGTGTTAATACTTTAGCTAGAATTTTGTAGAGAGAACTTACAATGCTGATAGGTCTGAATTCAGATAGGCCAGTGGGATTTTCCACTTTAGGAATTAGACTAATAAAAGTGCTATTGATGCCATAGGTCAGTTTGCTGTTTGTGTGGAAGTTTGCAAAAAATTGCATAATCTCAAGCTTTATGACCTTCCAAAATTTATGATATCACAGCAAGTTAAAGCCATCAAGGCCTGGAGCTTTGTTGCTATTACAATCCTTAATTGCAGCCAATACCTCAGCTTCACTGAATTCTGAGACAAGGTGATGAGAAACATAGTCTGCCTTAATGGTCTTGAATACCCCTCCCAAGACAGGTCTTTTACCCAATCCTTAGCAAACTGTTTCTTGAAGTGTTGATTGACCTCAAATTTAACCCTGTTAGGATCCTCATAAGACACCCCATTAACTTTAATAGAGTTAATCATGTTCCTACTCTGTCTGGCATTGGCAAAAACATGAAAAAAAAACCTAGTATTCTTATCCCCATTTAGAGTCCAGTTCAATCTGGATTTTTGATGCCAAATCCACTCTATCATTCTGTTCAGCTTCCACATCTCTCCTCTGACCACTCTTCTTCTTGTCATTTCAGCTTCAACCAGAGGTCTTTCTTCTTCCAAGATATCTAATGCATGTAATTCCTCCTCTAAAACTTTGAGTTTGGATGAGACATTGCCAAACATCTCAACATTCCATTTCTTTAATTCTAGCTTTAGATGCTTTAGTTTTTGAACAAGTATGAAGCCAGCCTATCCAGTAACAGAAGTGTTGCTCTAGATATCCACAAAGAGCTTGGAAAAGCTTGGATAAAGAGTCCAGGCATTTAGGAACCTGAAAGGTCTGGGGGCCCAATCTCTTTCATCTTCCATCATCAACAGAGGACAGTGATCTGAAATTAATCTAGACAACCCCCATAGCTTCATTCTGAAATTAATCAACCACTCAGGACTAAGCAGTACTCTATCTATACAGCTTCATTTCTCAGATTACTGAGCATTACACTAAGTGTATTTCCTTTTATGAAGAGGTAAATCATTGAGCTCACATTTCCCAATAAACTCATTAAAATGTTTAATCCCCCTATCCCTCCTGGAGCAGCCTATCCTTTCACCTATATATCTAATTTCATTGAAGTCCCCACCCATACACCAAGGAGCAGGGAAGTGGTCTTTAAGCTTGAGAATATCAGCCCATAAAGTTGATCTAGCGCTGATATCATTTGGTGTATATATGTTGATCAAAACACAATCAAAAGAGTTGTACAAGGAGCCAGAAAGCAAGATGTACCTCCTATTGCAACAGCAGCTAGAGAGTTAGAAGACAGCAGGGTCCCAAATACATAAAAGCCCACCAGCAGAGCCTTCAGGATCCACAAACATGTATTCCATATTTCTGCAGCCCTAGAGCCTTCTAACAGCATTATCAGAGTCCACTGCTTTCTTAATCTCTTGAAGGAAAACGATATCTACATGCTTGTCCTTTATAAGACTTTTGATGCTACCCTTCTTCTCAGGTTTACCCAAACCCCTAATATTCCAAGATAGCAGCTTTATAAGTAAACAAAATTATACACTCAAGTCACCCATTTGCAGTATTTTATTGCTGAGCCTTCCTCTCTTTAGTGATTCTGGCTTTATCCTTAAGCTCTAGGTCAATTATCTTGCTCAATACAACATCCTCTTCCCCATTGTAGTTGACACCCAATGATTTCCCCAATTGTATAGTAGCTTTAGCTTCTTCAAGAAGATAGTTGTTCGAAGATGAGCCACTTTCAGATAGATTAGACTGAGCAAAAGTAGATGCTGCTGGTCTGAAAATGACAGACTTTGAGGAATGCTTATGAGCTGTTGCAGTTCTAAAGCCATGAAGTCTAGCAAAGCTAGTGAATCCCTCGATATGAGTCTTTTTCTTCCCTTTTTTCCTCTCAGTTTGCAGGGATTCTGGATTAAAAACAAGAGACTTAACTTGGGCTGATTGGTTGAGATTCAGTAAACTTATTCCATTTGGTCCTGACTTGTTTAAAGGCCCAGCAGATTGCTTTTAAATAGAAAAATGTTGTATTAAGGCCATGTTTGGTAAGTTAGGTTTTGAGGGTTTTTTTCTTTTTTTCTTTTTTTTTTTTTGAAGGGGGGTTAAAATCCACAAATAGATAAAATAAAATAAAATAGTCAATAAAATAAAATGTCACGTTAAATTCATAATCATTTTATTTTTTCTCTCACAAACATCACATCAAACTATAAAAAAAATCTAACCATCTTCTCAAACACAAAATTTTAACCTATTAAAATAGTCAAAAACTAAAATAATCTACTAAAATAGTCAATTTCTCAAACGAGGCCTAATTTCATACAACTTGCACAAGATAGAAAATAGTTATGATTCAGAGCTCTAAATCAGCAACTCTAAAGCCAGCTCTAATGAGCTGGCAGTGAAAGGAAAAAAAAAAAAGGCCAAAACATCGAGCAAGGATGCCCTCCTTGATATAAACAAATAGTTATGATTTAGAGCTCTAAATCAGCAGCTCTAAAGCCAGCTTTAATAAGCTGGTAGTGAAAGGAAAAAAACAAGTCACCCATTTGCAGTATTTTATTGTTGAGCCTTCCTCTCTTTAGTGATTCTGGCTTTATCCTTAAGCTCTAGGTCAATTATTTTGCTCAATACAACATCCTCTTCCCCATTGTAGTTGACACCCAATGATTTCCCCAATTGTATAGTAGCTTTGGCTTCTTCAAGAAGATGGGTCCACTTTTGAGCCCAACTTCGATGATTCGAACCGTTCACATTTTAAAATTTGTCATATACATCATACCTGTAAAAAATCAAATTGATCGAATATCAGAAGAACTAAAAACTGTTTATTAAAAAAAATTTAATAAACAATTTTATTGCTTAATAAAATTTTTAATTCACGTGATTTATTATATTCGATTGACTTGATTTTTTACAAATATAATATACATGACAAATTTTAAAATATGAACAGTTTGAATCATCAAAATTGGATCCAAAAATCGACCCAATGACCCATCAAGTAGGAAGTTAAGTAAGAGATTCAATGAGAGAATCTTTACTTCAAAATATCACATCAAAAAGGGGGACCCACTAATTAGAGCTCCTAGATTAGAGCTCTTAAACATTTTTGAATAGAAAATGCTGCTGCCAGAGCCAAGTTGGTACTCCTTGGGGAAGTTGTACATTATTCTGAAAATAGCAACAACAAAACCCTCGTCTATATATTTTTTCAATGCAAGTTGCAACTCAACAGTTACGTGGCAAGCATAGACAAAAAAGTACATATATACACACACTCACAAACTGAGGGAAGAATAAGCAAAGAAAGCTTTTGGGAAAAAGTGTGTGTGTGTGTGAGAGAGAGAGAGGGAGAGAGAGTGTTAATGATGGCTAGCAAGTTTTTGTCATTGGGATGTATGAGAAATATGGCATGGCCAAGATCACACTACCCTTGGATGCCCAAGTACCCAAAGCGAAAGGCGTGTTGGTGTCGAAAGATGACCATGATGATGAGGAGGAGAAGAAGAAAAACAGCGAAGCATCGGAGGAGGTGGAGGTGATGATGGCTTTGTATTCGGTGATAGGAATGAATTGCTCAGCGTGTTCTGCGTCGGTGCAGAAGGCAATTAAGAGGCTTCCCGGAATCAAAGACGCCGTGGTTGATGTCTTCAACAACAGTGCCCGAGTCTTCTTTTATCCTCCCTTTGTTGACGTGAGTTTTTCTCTCTTATCTCTTTCTCTTTTTCACTTTCCTCTTTTCTGTCTCTGCTTTTTTTTTAGAAACAGTAATACGAGAAACACATACGTGAAAAACTCATGTATGGTTGATTGACACATACGTGAATGGACATATTTGATTGATTGGATAGAGTATGAGATTAAAATTATTAATTTGTACATTTAATTATGTATTTATTTTGAAATTTTGTTTTATAGGATTAATAATAATGAGGTAGGGGTATGATTATATATCTTGAGTTGTGAAATAAAATAAAAAAACTCTTTTACCTACTAATTCAATGCAAATTAAACGATGGACAAAAAGATAATTTATCCTACTAATTCAATTGGACAGTGAATATCACACTAATTTAATGAAATTATTAATACATTCACTATTAATCTTATGAGTCAAACATGACTAGATATCTCTCACATATAGACTTTATTTCGTGTGAGATATCTATATTTATTCTATTTTTGTCTTTATGTACGTGTAGACGTATTATTAAGAAAAAGTAATGATGGAAATAGAGAAATCAAACATAACATAGTGAGTCTCACATCCTATAAACTCCACCTTTTATGTGACGTTTGTATGAACTCTTTTTCTTTTTCTCTTTTCAATTTCCTCTTTTGTCTCTACTCTTTTTCTTTTTCTATTTTAGAGATAACAATATTAGAAACACAGACCTCAAACACTTTCTCATACATATGGACTCTGCTTATTGTGAGATATTTGTATTTTATTCTATATTTGGTCTTTGTGTACACATAGACTTCTTATTTAAGAAAAAATAATATTAGGAATATAAAAATCAAACACAACATAAGTCTTGCTCCACTTCTTATGAGACATATTTGACCTATGTACTATGGCTAACGGATTAAGTTACCGGCTTTATTAACTAGACCACTTAGGATAAATTATTTTAATAGTCTTTATATTTTATCTCTTACATAATTTTGTTCCTTACACTTTAAATTGGTTCAATTATGACTCTTAATTTTAAATTTTCTGTCAATTTAATTCAATTGATAAAGTCATTAATATTTTTGACAAAAAATGATCACTGAATTGATTAAAATTAACTCGTTGAGTTGAATAAATTTATAATTTTGCCTCTAAAAACATAGTATATGTCACTTATATGCATATTTTTCATTAAAAAATATTGACAATTGTAAACAATTGAACTAAATTGAGAAAGAATCATAAATTCATAATCAAAATCAAGCCAATTGAAATTTCGAAAACCAAAATTACACAAACCAAAATATAGAGATTATCAGTATAATTTTTCTTAACAAAAACTAAAACTAAAATCGTTTGATATCCTTGTTTTTTTTTTTGTCTCTCTCTCTCTCTCAAGGTTTTCTTGGTATTGATCCAAAGATCGAAGTCAGTTGATCAATCAACAAGAGACACCATCAATGCAAAATCTCCTTAAATTCGTATATATTTTAAATACTTGTAAATGGGTTTATTTCTAATTGGAAAATGATATATAAATCTACTTTTTAAACTTATTTTTTAGCTCAGTAATATAATTGGTTAATAATTAGAGAAGAAATGAAAGAGAGTGTGTTTCCTTTAATATCTTAATTGATTATCACATTATTGAACTTAAAAAGTGACTTCAATTTATTTATTTATTGAATAGGAATGCTCTTTTCAAGTTACATATATATTTCTATTATATAAAACACATCATAATATTTTTGAAGTTTTGTTATATTTTTTCTTCGAAATTGTTAATAAAATATTTAACTACTTAAAGACTTTAAATTTCGACCTATCTTTCTCATTCATCAAATCATTTAAAAATTTATATATAAAATTACAATCATATAAAGTTTACACATACTCACATCTAGTTTATATAAAAAGAAAATTACAATTCAGTGCAAATTGAGTGATAAATTTTATAAATATTAGTAATTAAAATTTTAAACTCTTTCATATATAAGATGTAGTGTAAGTCCCTCTTATATACAGGGAAAATTACCACAGTGGTGGTTTGAAAATATTATTACAAATTCATAAAAAAAACCTCATGATTTTAATTATTAATAGTTATAACTTTTATCACTAATTTATAATTAATTTTTAAAATACATACCGAATTGTTATTACTCATGTATGTATATGTATATATATATCAACAACCAACTAATTGGGGAAGGGCAACCTACCATAACATTTTAACGCCATATATGAATGAATCTTTCTTCCCTCTAGTATAGAACGTTGTTGTTCAAACTTGCGATTCATCAAGGGTTTCATTTTAATAATTAAAATTATTTATTTTGTATAATTTTTTTTTTTTGTGTGTATCATTCATAACAAAAAAAATTAAGTCAATTAGATAATCATATTTTGTTTAATTTACCACATTCATCTTGAAAAAAAAAATGGACAGACAAGTATGTTTTTAAAAATAGATTATTTATTTTTTTTAGTGATAAATACAATAAAATAAAAATACTATGATTATTGAATCAATCTAATTTTTTTCATGAATGATATATATTAAAAAAAAATGAATAATTTTAATCATTTAAACATAAACTCATAATGAGTCCCATGAACCTGAACAATGCTCTCCAACCTAAATATGGACTATATGAAAATCTCCAAGAGGACTACGAGCAAAGTTATTTTGCTTAATTTTCTTCCCATATTTATTTATTAAAGTGCAATTGTACTTTAACCATTAAGAAGTAAGGGTTAATTTCTTCGACCATGCTACGTAGTTCGAAACCACGGCTCGAAATCGCGGCTCGACACCAAAACGACGTCGTTTTGGTGTCGAGCCGCGATTTCGAGCCGTGGTTTCGAACTACGTAGCATGGGGTGGTGAGGGATTTCGGTGAGCTAGAGAGAGTGGCCACCGATTGAGAGAGAGAATACAGAGAGAGGGAGAGGCCGGATCAACATATACAGAGACACAGAGAGCGAGCTGGAGACAGAGAGGAGAGACGGGGATTAGAAATGGCGACCAAATTTTGATTTGGAGAGTGGGTACAAAACGACGTCGTTTTATAAATGACGACCAAATATTTTTTTGTCGCAAAAAATTTTCATTTCCTCCCTCCATGTTTCAAATTTCCCTCCCACACTTTTCGTGGCCAAATGATCAGATTAGTCGCAGAAAAGGGACCTTCACCGACAAACTTTTTTAGTCGCCAAATCTCAATCAACGGCGACTAAAATATTAGTCGCTAAAAATACTAATTTGGCGACTAATTTTTTTTGGCCGCCAAAATGTAACCTTCCGCGACCAAATTTGAAGTTGGTCACCAAAAGCATACCAATTTCTGCGACTAACTCATTTTTGGTCGCCAAAATGTGATATTCTGCGACCAACTCATTTTGGTCGCCAAAAATAATGATCATTCGCGACTAATTAATATTTTGGTCGGCAAATGTCATTTTTTTGCGACTAAAATTTTTTTGGTCGGCAAAAGTGGTCGGCAAATATGTAAATTCTTGTAGTGTCTTCTTTCATTTTCGAGCTGTTTCGAGCTCGACCCTTTCGAGCTACGAGACATTTTTGTAATTTCTTAGAGAAATGCTAGTGCAATTTTGGAAAGTAGATTAAAAGTCTTTTTTTTTTTTAATTTTTTTGAAAAAACGTACAAAAAAAATAGAAAAGTGATATGACCTAAAAAAACCAAAAAACCAATAAGTTACCTTTTAACTTATTTCCTAAAATATTTAATTTTTTTTCAGGATATATATTTGAATAACTATTTTTTTATTTACAAAAGAAAAACTACTCATAAAATTTTGAAAAATGTTAGGGACCATAAATGTTTACCTCAAAATTATCCTGAAAACAAAATCAACGATGTAAATTTAAAATTGGTGTGACGTGGGCCATACTTAGAATGATTTTGGGGTATAAATATATTATTGTGGATACTTTCTTGGATATGTAGCATAATTGTAAATTTTTTATTCAAATTTTATGATTACAATGATGTGTTAGTCAAGTGCCACACCCTTTATCCGATCTTCAAGCATTGGCATCTCCCTTTAAACAAAATCAACGATGTAAATTTAAAATTGGTGTGACGTGGGCCATACTTAGAATGATTTTGGGGTATAAATATATTATTGTGGATACTTTCTTGGATATGTAGCATAATTGTAAATTTTTTATTCAAATTTTATGATTACATAATTCTTGTAGTGGTAGTATTTTATTTATTCATCCAAATCATGTATGATCTTGATAAATCAAGGTCAGGAATCGAGGTCAAGTTAAACAATAGTCAATCTTGGGTGTTTGGGGTAAGTTTATTTACTGATTTTGACTTTTTTTTATAAAAAATTGTGTAGAAAGGAGAGAGATGATAATTTATCCAGAAAAAAATAGAGAAATGATGAGATAACTTGTAACAAATAAGTAAATAAGCTACTTATTTGCTATGTTGCCAAACAACCCAATGTGTTTTGGAGTGATTTTTTTTTTTTTTAATTGTATGAAAATTTGTGAATGATTAGTATGTATGAATTAATTTTTGATGACTTTTTAATTTTTTTGGGTCTATTTTAATAACTTTTATTTATTTATTTATTTAAAACTTTTTTAACCTAAGAGGGAAGTTCCTATACAATGCATATATACCACACCATGTGTGGTAACTGGTAAAGTATAATAAGATTGTTCAGTCTTGGTATGGTTTTGGGGTGGAGTTTTTTAGTTAAAATAGTTAAAAAGTTAAAATATTCAATCATATATATATATATTTAATGTTTTTGTATGCTTTTTCATAAAAAAAATTAACTAAACCAATCAATTTCCAAACGAATCCTAAGCAAGAAAGCATAATGAAAAACTCCATATGATGGTATTTACCACTTCTTTTTCTCCACAACTATATTCATTGTTTGATTTCTTGTTATTTTATTACGATTCCATTACTAAACCAAATTATTACAAAAATCACAAACTTTTAAAATAAATTTTCTCTTCACTCTAGGCCGTCTCTTCAAACATAAGTACCAAATATATCAGTGATATTATTTGACGGTATCACTATCCAATATATAATCTTACTTTCTAGTAAAGAGAATAAAAATGTTAACTTAGTGAAGACAAAGTATATCTACTTTTAATCTCATTTGCGATTATTTATTGACCAGTGACACTATATCGTTAGAATTAGTATTTTTCTTTCCTTGTCACCATCATCCCCCCCACCATCGGCAGCCCCTATTTTACTGCTAACCACTACTACTCATCACTGGTTGCGACTTAGCCCTATTTTCTTCCCTTCCATACACCATAGGCCACCACCAACCCCATCTTTCATGATCCAATCCCTATTTCCTTCCCTTACATATTCCCACTTTATCACATGGTATTAATAAGAATTTGTTATTGTTCAATAGGAGGAAACAATTCGAGAGACCATTGAAGATGTTGGATTTCAGGCCACATTGGTAGAAAATGAGATGAATGAGAAAACCATTCATGTTTGTCGAATACAAATAAAGGGCATGACTTGCATTTCATGTTCTACAGTTGTTGAATCTGCCTTGCAAGTAGTGCCCGGTGTTCAAAAAGCCCAAGTTGCATTGGCAACAGAAAAAGCACAAGTTCATTATGATCCAAAGATTGTCAGCTACAATCAACTAATAGAAGCCATAGAAGACACCGGATTTGAAGCCATATTGATTAGTACAGGGGAAGATAAAAGCAAAATAATGTTAAAAATTGAGGGAGTACAAACTGATAATTCGATGAGAATGATTGAAAATTCTCTTCAAGCACTTCCAGGCATTGAGGATATAGACATCGACTTTGAGCTCAAAAAAATTTCCATTTATTACGAATCAGATTTGACAGGACCTAGAAATTTTATCCAAGTTATTGAGTCTACTGGGTCAGGGAGTTTCAAAGCAATGATATTCCCCGAAGAAGGAGGAAGAGAAGCTCATAGACAAGAGAAAATTAAGCAATGCTACACATCATTTCTGTGGAGCTTGGTGTTTACAATTCCTATTTTCTTAACTTCAATGGTCTTTATGTATATCCCTGGACTCAATCATGTATTTGATACTGAAGTTGTGAATATGCTTACTGTGGGAGAGATTTTAAAGTGGGTGTTATCTAGCCCCGTTCAGTTCATTATTGGTCAACGATTCTACGTTGGTTCTTACAAAGCAATTTGTCGTGGTTCTGCCAACATGGATGTTTTGATTGCCTTGGGAACAAATGCAGCTTACTTCTATTCAGTAGGTTCAGTGTTGAGAGCTGCAACTTCTCCAAATTTTAAATCCACAGATTTCTTTGAGACTAGTGCAATGCTCATTTCATTTATTCTACTTGGGAAGTATCTGGAGGTTTTGGCAAAAGGAAAGACATCTGAGGCCATTGCAAAGCTTATAGACTTGACTCCTAACACAACAATACTGTTGACCCTTGACAACGGAGGAAATGTGGTATGTGAAGAAGAAATTGATAGTCGTTTGATACAAAAGAATGATGTGATTAAAGTTATTCCGGGTGCAAAAGTAGCTTCGGATGGTTTTGTCATTTGGGGACAAAGCCATGTAAATGAGAGCATGATTACAGGAGAATCTCGGCCAGTGGCAAAGAGAAAGGGCGACACAGTGATTGGAGGCACGGTGAATGAGAATGGTGTTTTACATATTAAGGCAACACGGGTTGGATCAGAGAGTGCTCTTTCCCAAATTGTTCGACTTGTTGAATCAGCACAGATGGCTAAAGCTCCAGTGCAGAAATTTGCTGATCGCATTTCCAAATTCTTTGTGCCTCTTGTAAGTATAAGTGAATGCTTTTCTTTTTGCCCTTTTTTCCCCCTTTTTTTTTTTTTTTTTTTTCTCTAGATGTGTTATTAACAATTAACTATATTTTGCAGGTTATAATTCTATCCTTTTTCACTTTGTTTGTGTGGTTTTTAGCTGGAGAGTGCAATGGCTATCCGAAATCTTGGATACCTTCTACCATGGATAGCTTTCAGCTTGCATTGCAGTTTGGCATATCGGTCATGGTCATTGCTTGCCCATGTGCTCTAGGCTTGGCCACACCCACTGCTGTTATGGTCGGTACTGGAGTCGGTGCTTCCCAAGGTGTCCTAATTAAAGGCGGCCAAGCACTCGAAAGTGCACACAAGGTCATCATAATATATCAATCTTTTTCGCTCATACATCAAAAAATATATCCCTATAAGATTTATCTTAAAACTCCAACATGAATCAATTTGTTTTGCCAATCCTCTTGAAAAGTCCAAAATATTTCATGTGGTATTGATGTAAACGCTTCAACAAAAAAAAATCTAATTTACATTAGCAATGACAAAATCTTGAAGTGAGTGTTTTTGTTGTAGGTAAACTGCATTGTTTTTGACAAGACTGGAACTCTTACCATTGGCAAAGCCAGTGGTTGTTAACACATTGCTTTTGAAAAATATGGTACTTCGAGAATTCTATGATCTGGTTGCTGCAACTGAGGTAATTTTCTTTCTGTTTCGGACTTCAAATTTTTTGGATAAATTATATTCTTTCAGTTTTCCTAGCTAAAGATGACTGGTGATAATTTTGGTCTGTAATATCTAGAAAAATAGTGAGCATCCTTTGGCCAAGGCCATTGTTGAGTATGCCAAGAAATTCCGAGAAGATGAAGAGAATCATGTTTGGGTAGAAGCCCAAGACTTCGAATCCATCACCGGCCATGGAGTGAAGGCCATTGTTCAGAACAAGAAAATAGTTTTGGGAAACAAGAGCTTGATGTTAGACGAAAACATTGTCATTCCTGTCAATGGTAAAGAAATGCTAGCAGAAATTGAAGGTTTGGCTCAAACTGGGATTCTTGTAGCTATAGACAGGGAAGTGGTTGGAGTGATTGCCATTTCCGATCCATTAAAGCCCGGTGCCAGTGAAGTCATTTCCATTCTCAAGTCCATGAAAATCAAAAGTATAATGGTGACCGGTGACAATTGGGGAACAGCCAATTCAATTGCTAAGGAAGTTGGAATCGACACTGTAATTGCAGAAGCCAAGCCTGAGCATAAAGCGGAGCAAGTGAAAGAATTACAGGTAGCAATTGGAATAGTTGCCTCAAGACAATATTGACAACCACTATTGTTAATTTTAAAAAAAATTCCCCAAGTGACTAACTAGTATTAAAAAATTAAATTCAACAATTTGACTATATGATTCACACAGGCTTCAGGTTACATCGTGGCAATGGTAGGAGATGGAATCAATGACTCGCCAGCGCTCGTAGCTGCAAATGTTGGAATGGCAATTGGAGCTGGAACAGACATTGCTATTGAAGCAGCTGACATTGTCCTAATGAAGAGCAACTTGGAGGATGTGATAATTGCCATTGACCTTTCCAGGAAAACGTTTTCCCGTATACGTCTCAACTACATTTGGGCTCTGGGTTACAATCTCCTTAGCATCCCAATTGCTGCTGGAGTCCTTTACCCGTCAACTAGATTTCAATTACCACCATGGATTGCTGGAGGTGCAATGGCTGCCTCTTCGGTTAGTGTTGTTTGTTGCTCTCTCTTGCTGAAGTATTACAAAAGACCCAAAAGTCTCAACAACCTTGAGATAACAGAAATAACAGTCGAGTGAAAGAATTATGATGGTGTTAAATTCAGCAGTGTGTATAATCTATGTCATGCTAAAGTTTGCTTGGAATAAATTTTGAACAATGTCATTTTTATCCTACACTACTCCAACTCCCTTTTTTTTTAGCATTCACATGTTTTGCTTACTCTTTGATTCGACTAGTTTCCAGTATTTAGAAAATGTGTCCCGTAACGGGGCTTTCATAGAGATTCATAAATCTTCCACAAATCACATCATATACAACCCCGAGAGGTACTATCATATGCCACCATGATATAACGTCAACACAAACACATCAACCACTTTTGCCCAAAAAATGTTACTATCGTTAGAATAAAATGAACTAATGTCATTAGAAATTTATTATTTAAATTGATCATTTAAGAAATAAAACGACACGTGCAATCATTTGAGGGGTTGAAATGGTTTTTTTTCAAAAGAAAAAAAAAGAAAGGTAGAGTAAGATACCATAACTATTCTTTTTGATGGGGAGTATTTACCAAACTTGTGCCTATGATTATAAGTTTAAAATTTTGTTTTTAAAATATGAATTCAAATAAATTACCATAATATGTATGAAAATTATCTTTTTAATATATAACTTGATAAGACAATTTTAATATAAAAAAAAAAAGTTCAAATAACCCACAGGAAAAGTAGTTTTTTAAAAAAAGTTTGGTTTAATAAATAAGGTCTTGATTCCATGAGCAACTATTATTGACTCCAAAATATGCAACAAATTTTTCATTTTTTTGCTAATGTAGAAACTAAGTGAGAATCCCAATTCAAAACCCTAACAACTCCCACTAACTACATAAACGAAATATAATGTAATAATTGAAAAATATATATTCATTCATTTGCATCCTAACAATCTTGGAACCAAACGCCTTCGTGAGTCTGACTAATCGATGAATCCAACTTCAACTTCAAATAGTTTTAATATAGAAATATATAGATTAAAATGAAATTCCAAAGACCTAAAAGATTGCATAGTTCGCCAAGCATTTCATCTCCATGTAATTTTGATTTATGTTCCTAAGCATATTCAATACATTAATAACAACACTTATCATTACTCAAATAAAATTCTTAAAACTTCTCATATTGGTTCATAAAATTAAAATTGTTAGATTAACAATATTTTAAATTTTTTGCACTTTTTGAACATTTGGTTGTTGCAACAACATTTTTTAATTTTTTACACTCTTGCATGTTTGGTTGTTGCAACAACATTGGAACATCGAGTAAACTGGCATAGCAATACCATTAAAAGCAAATTCATCCACAGTGTGACAACCGATTCTGCATTCGTTTGTCTCATCATTAGAAGACAATGCTCGCTAATCAAACACTTTCGATGGAACTTCTAATGATTAGACAAGCGGATAAAGAATCCATTGTCACATGGTGAATGAGTTTGGTTTTAATGGTATCCCTAGACATATAATCGGTTCGATATGGTTAGTATTTAAATAAAAATTTATACTGAACTGATAATATCGGTTTTATTATTTTGAATACCGATACATACCACTTCTCCCATCAAACCATAATAAATCAAACCAATTGAAATGGTTCGGTTTAATGTGGTTTAATTGGTCTAAGACATTTTAAACTTAAGCCAATTTTTAGTATAGTCACTAATCTATATAAAAACATTGAATTAGCTATTTGTCCACTACTTCAAACATATCCAATCCATCAATCTAATAAATACTTTTCAATTCCTAAATTACCAACAAAAAAAAAATATTAAAAATACTAAGAATTATGAGTTAGGAGTATAAAAATGACCAGCGGCTCGTTAGAGGCCCCAAGCCTGCTCGCAACCCAGGGTGGGCTTGGGCCCGAGCCCAGTCCAGGACCCTAGACTTGGGCCTGGGCTTGGGCCATCATTTTGAAGCCTGCCCCGACCCATGACTCGGCCCATCGGCCCGCTCAAGGCCCACTCAAAGCCTGGCCCGACGCCTAGTGTCATTTTTGGTGGAAAAAAAATAAATTTTTGGTGAAAAAAATAGAAAAAAATGTTCAAACCCTGCCCAAACTCGGCCCAAGCCCGAGCCTTAGCCAAGGCCTGGCCCACCCAAGGCTCAGCCCACCCAAGGCCCGAAGTGGGCCAGATCAAGCCGGCCTTGCCCAAATTTTGGCAGTAGCCCATGAGGCCCAACATGGGTCGGGCGGGGTCAAGCCAAATTTACACCCCTAGTTAGAGTTGAGATTATATATATATAAGAGTTTACAAATTTAAGTTATAGAGATGATAAGGTTAATAATTTATTATACTTATTAATATCATTATATTATTAGATTATATATACATATTATAAATATAATATATGTTGAAGTGGTTGATTTTGGTTTAATTGTATAAGGTGTTTGAATTGATACCAAATCGAAAATTAAAAAATCAAATCAAATTTAAAAACCGCACAGACCAAATTTTGTTAAAAAATAGACCATATATATTTGGTTTGGTCTGATTCAATCTGTTTAGTCAGTTTTTTTAATTTTTCTTACACCTCTAGGTATCCCTATGTTGGTTTACCCGAATGCTCCAATGTTGTTGGAACAACTACACGTGCAAGGAGTGCAAAAAATTAAAAATATTATTAACTAACGATTTCAATTTTATGAACTAAGGCCCAGTTTGTTTTGGGTTATAGGGAGGAGATTGGGATTCATAGTGAGGTAGAACCCACTAATATCATGTTTGTTTTGAGAGATAGAGAAGGGATTCGTAATCCCCTCCGGACTACGAATCCCCTTGGAAAGGGGAGTAGGATGAGCCTGTAGGACTTAGTATTAGAAAAATAGTCCGGCGGACTAGAAATTTTATTTTTTATTTTATTTTTTACTTGTCGGGTATTTTTTTTTAACATTAATGTTTAATTTTTTATATTTTTTGTTAAGTAAAAATCATTATTTTTATTTGTTTTATTTTTTTTGGAAATTTTTTATTTTATTTTTATTTTTAATTTTTTTTTTACATGTTGGGTATTTTTATTAAAACATTAATGTTTAATTTTTTGTATTTTTTTATTGTTTATATTTATTTTATATAAAAATAATTTGATAATCCCTAACACTATCATCAAAACAAACACAAGTTTACTTAATTCCTTCACTATCAACCTCTTTCATTCTATCTCTGAAAAAAAACGGGCCTAAGAGTGTTCACGGGTCGAATCGATTTGCATTGTCAGTCAAACCGACAACCTCAAGTAGGAGAATCAGTCAACCGATTTCAACCCAACAATGGTTCGAAACCAAGCACTTCGTCAAAACCAATCACTTCGCGTGTAGAAAAATTGGTTCAGGATTCGATCAGTACTGTAACAAACTTCAATTGTCTTTGTCAATATAACAAACAACCACTGTAAAAGAAAGATCATAGAAACAGAAGGAAGAGAGATCAGACGGAGAGGGAGGAAAGTTACAGAAGGAGATGGGAATGAGGATTTGGGGGTAAGGAGATCAAAGATCACAATATCACCACCACTTTCAAGATCACCACTAGCACCATCATTACATCACATCATCACGATCTCAATGAATCATCTCCACTAGTATCTTAACCTCATCTCTATAAAACCCTCTCATGACTTTAGTCATTGCTAGAGCGTCTCCAACGCTTACTCATGTTTTATTAAATTTAAATTTGATAAAATATACTCTTTTTTTATATTCCAATCATGGCATCAAAATCATATCAAATGAAGGTAGGGTCAGATTTTTTCATCAAATCAAGGAAGTATTTAATTTTTTATCAAATTTCACAAGCGATCGTTGATAGATGATCGAGTGGACAATCAGTCAGTCAATTGAGTGGACGACTGACAGGAGGAAGTTTTATTAAAAATTTGCTTTAGGCCAGATGATTGGCTAAATTTGATAAAACCATTGGAACGCAATATATTAGATCAAATTTTTATTCAAATTTACTAAAAATTTTAAATAACTATTGGAGATCCTGTTAAACCATCTCCAACTGCTCATCAATTCTTTTATCAAATTAAAATTTGATGAAAAAATAAAATATTTTTCATGCTTCAATAGTTTCATTAGATTAATATCAAATTGAAAATATCAAAAATATTTCATCAAATTGAAGACATCTAGGAGTTTTTATCAAATCACTATTCATAGCCGTTGGATTTTCACCACCGGATGTCCTCCTAGATATCTCTAAGATGACTACTTTTAGGCCAAAATTTGTGAAAAAAATACACTGGTAGGTCAATCGGCCAAGCATATGTCCGATCGTCTACCTAGTTGACCGATATTTTGATGAAAATTCAAAATCTTTCGTTGAAATATTTGATATCAAATAAAAATTTTATTTAATTTTTTATTCAAATTTAATGTAAAAAAAGATATACTGTTAAAAATGTTCTTAAAGAGTAAGAGTGTAAAAATGGCTCGCAGCCTAGGGTGGGCCCGGGCCTAACTCGAGCCCTTGGGCTTGGGCCTGGGCTATCATTTTGAAGCCCAGCCCATCAGTCTACTTAAGGTCTACTCAAGGCCTGGCTTGGTCCGAGGCTCAATGTTTTTTTTAAGTAGAAAATAATAAACTTTTGGTAAAAAAAATTAAAAAAACAAAAAAAAAAGGCTAAGCCAGCCAAACCCGAGGCTAGGCCCAAGCACATCAACCTGCTCAAGGCCCGAATACCCCTAGGCCAAGGCTTGGGCCTAGTTTTAATTTTTTAGCCCATGGGCCGACCAGACCTAGCCTGAATTTTAGAGGGAGCCAATGAGACCTGACATGACCGGGCTAGGCCGAATTTATATTCCTATGTATGAGAGAGAGAGAGAGAGAGAAAAAAAAAAAAGAGTGATTTTGATAAGACAATGAGAATACAGAAGTCTAGGACAAAGATAATGTATGTGTTTGGTATGTGTTTGGAATCATCAAGGCTTTGTTCGATTATAATTTTCAAAATATGATTTCAAATCTTATTTTAAAACATATTTGGAAAACATGTTTAGTTATAGAGAGTTTTTGATACCCAGACGTCTTGCTGGTTGACTGAAACAGTATTTTTTTTTTTTTCATTTATCATATGTTATTTGAAAAAAAAAATTATATTTTTTTTAATATTTTTTAAA